AGGGGAAAACCTTGGTACAAAGTTTTTAAAACTTGGGTCGGTGTAGAGAAAATCGGGACAGCATCCTGAGGCAACAGAGGGCTCAGGAACAAAAGCAGGAAGTAGAGGATTGGGAGAAGAGGACTCTGGTAATGTGGTAGACCGGAAGTTCTCAGACAGACACCTAGCTCCCCCTGCCAAAAATAATTGTTGGATAAAACAATAACTCTCTCTATAATACATGGCTTAGTAAGGCAAAGTAAGGGAATTCTTCAGGGGTGAAAAATGATGAAGTGAGAATCTGTAAGAGGTAAGAAAACTCCAGAGCCTTTGTCTAAGGGTATCTGCCAATCCCTGTTCTCCTAGAGCATGGGTTTTAATGAGGCGTGAGTGTGTCTGGGACAGGAGACAAAACTTGGGGCCCTAGTGTCCTTATATAAGGTATTGATTAACTTTAAATAAATATGTAAGCCATATCAATCATCTGAGGTCTCCACTGAGAGAACTGAAATAAAGTGTGTAACTTCCAAATGAGTGGAGTTGGGGTGGGGGAAGGAATGATTGATTGATAGGAGGAAAAAAAAAAAAAAATCAACACGAAGGAGAGCAAGAAAGAAAAGGAAAAGAAAAAAAACAAACTTAGAAGACAAATGAACAAATAGAAAGCAAAAACTAAGATGATATAAATGAGTCCAATTTAACAATAATCACGAGCTACGTAAATGAATTATAATCTCCAGTTAAAAATCAAAGATTGTTAGACTAGATTTTAAGAATTGAACTTTAAACTATCCGTAAGAGAAAGCCCTGTAAATATAAGGACAGAGGCAGATTGCAAGTAAATTGATGGGAAAAGACATACGAAGAATGAAGTTACAAAAAGGAGATATAGCTATATTAAATATTACGTAAAACTAGACTTCAAGACAAAAAGCACTACTACAAATGGCGAGGATGACTACATCTTAATAAAGATGTTCAAGCTGGGACAAAGTGAGAGAGTAGCATTGACATATATACACTACCAAATGTAAAATAGATAGTGGGAAGCAGCTACATAGCTCAAGGAGATCAGCTCTGTGCCTCGCGACCACCTAGAGGGGTGGGATAGGGAGGGTGGGAGGGAGACGCAAGAGGGTGGGGATATGGGGATATATGTATACATATAGCTGATTTTTCTCTGTTATACAGCAGAAACTAACACAACATTGTAAAGCAGTTATACTCCAATGAAGACGTTAAAATAAATAAAGATGTTCAATTTACCAGGAAGATGTAATTCTAAGTTTATGTGCTCCTAAAAGCATAACTTCGAAATATATAAAAGAGAAATTGCTGGAACTACAAGAAAAATAAACACATCCCAAATCACAGGTCATTTTCACACATCTCTCTCAAAATTGGTAAACCAAATAGACAATAAATCAGTGAGGAGTTAACAGATTTGAAGAATACAATGAGCAAACTTGTTTTAATGCACAGACACGATACACTGAAAGCACATTCTTTTCAACACATGTTAACATTTATAAAATGGATCATCCAGTAGGCCACGGGGAAAATCTCTGCAAAACTCAAAGAATTTGTATCATATAGCCCACATTCTCTAAGAGTTAAACTGGAAGTCAAAAATGAAAAAATAACTAAGGAAACCCCATACCTTTGAAAATTAGAAAACACATTCCAACTCATGGCTTAAAGAAGAAAATCAAAGTAGGACTTACTAAATATTTAGAACTAAGTGATCATGAAAATACTCATCAGGACTGGTGGGATATAGAGAGCTAAAGCAGTAATAGGGGAAAGACTGTAGTCTTACTGCTTATGTCAGTGATAAGGAAAGTGTGCAAAGTAATAAACTGAGCATTCAACTCAGGAAGTTAAAAAAACAAAAGTGAATCAACCTAAGAATAAGGAGGGAAATAATAAATACGAGTAAAAGTCAATGAAAGAAAACTGCTATAAATTACAGAATGTCCCTCCAAAACAAGATTGTCTCTCTTATTTTTTTGAAAGAGTAACACAGCTGACAAACTGCTGGCAAGACTGATGAACAAAGAAGAGAGAAGACTCTAATAACCAGTATCAGGAATGAAAAAGCATACTCCCTATAGGTGCTGCAGACATAAACAAAGATAAGAACAGGATATTACTGACAACTTTATGCTGATTACTGAATATTTGGAAAAACTCACACATTCCTAGAAAAGCGTAATTTCCAAAGTTAATTCAAGAAGAAACATGAAACCTGAATAACCCAATAACCGTGATAGGAATTGAATCATTAGTTAAAATTCTTACCATAAAGAAAGTATCAGACCTAGATGATGGTTTCGTAAGGAGTTCTACAAAATGACCAGGAAATGAATCATTCTAACCTTACACAAACTATTCCAGAGTATAGAAAAAGAAGGATCACTTGCCCATTTTATGAATCAGATATATATCCTTGATACTAAAAATGGAAAGCCACAAACAGAAAATGCAAAATTTTTTAAATGTATAATCTACAGTTGCAACAAAAAGTATAAGCCATGGAGGAAGGAAAACTAACAAAAGGCATGCCAAACTGTATTACAAAACTTGAAAGACATTACAGAAGACTTAACAAACAGAAACATATCAACACACCATTTTCATAGATAAAAACACAGTATCCTAATATAAAGATGCTAGTTCTCCCCAGATTGATACGTAGATTGACACAATTCCCATCAAAATCCAAAAATATTTTTCGTACAATTTTAAAATGATCCTAAACTTTATCTGAAAGAGCAAACAGTCAAGAATAGTAAGATATTCCTGAAGGAGAAGAAAGAGAAAGTGAGGGAACTTGCCCTGCCAGATAACAAGAATTAGAATGCAATGGTAGTTAAGATACTGTGATACTGTTTTGGGAATAGACAAACAGACCACTGGAACAGAATTAGAAAGCCCCCAAACAAAGCAACAAGGAAATCTGATATATGCCAAAATTGATAGTGCAGACCAGCCGGGAAAGAGGATGTATTAGTCAAATTTTGCTGGAACAACTAAAAATAAAAATAGAAGCCTACCCTACACCAAAATGAATTCCAATTCTAAATGAATGAAGAACTTAAAAATGAAAAGCAAAACTTTAAAAGTTTTAGAATAAGACCCCAGAGACTATTTTTGTGATATAAAGGTAGGGAGGATTTCTTAAACAAGATATAAAAATCATAAAGGAAAGGATTCATAAATTCAACTATATTAAAAGTAAGAACATCTATTCATCTAAATGCATGATAAACAGAGTGAAAAGAGCCACAAACTGGGAAGTGATTTATATAAACCAACGACCGACAAAAGATTAGTATCTAAAATATATCAAGAACGCCTACAAATCAATAAGAAAAGACAAACAAATCAATTCAAAAACGGGCAGGGGGGGCTTCCCTGGTGGCGCAGTGGTTGAGAGTCCACCTGCCGATGCAGGGGACACGAGTTCATGCCCCGGTCTGGGAAGATCCCACGTGCTGCGGAGCGACTAGGCCCATGAGCCATGGCCGCTGAGCCTGTGCGTCCGGAGCCTGTGCTCCGCGACGGGAGAGGCCACAACGGTGAGAGGCCCGCGTACCGCAAAAAAAAAAAAAAAATGGGCAAGGGGCATGAACAGGCATTTTCCAAACGAGAAAACATAAATGACAAAAAATGCATATGTGAAAACATGCTCAGTCTCATTAATAATTTAAAAAATTAAAACCTTATGAAGTAATATTTCACACCTAGCAGATTAGCAAAACTTAGCCTGACAACACCAAGTGCTAGAGGCGATGTGAAGCAAGAGAAAGACTCATATACTGACAATGGGAGGATAAACAGAAAAGGAAAACATTTTGGAACTGCATGATGTAGTTAAACACACATGTGGCTCTATAGCCCGGCAATTCCACTCCTACATTTAGACCCTAGAGAGTGTTGATTATATTTATTTGGTAAAACTATAAAGAAAAGCAATGAGTGGTTAATACACAAGCAGAACAGGATAGTGGGCACCTCCCTCCTCTGGAGGGAGGAAAGGATCCATGGGGTGGGATGCGTGGGAGGGAGCTCATAAGATGGGCTTCAAAGGTACTGGTGACATTCTTGCATTGAATCATGGACATATGTGAACTCTTATCTTGTCACCGTTTATAATATACATTATGTTCTCTACAACCTTATGTATGTATGGTACTATATTTCATAATAACATGGTAAGTAAATAAATAAATTAGTTCCAGAGGCTAAAGAACTGCAGTTGGAACCCACAGAATGGGCCAGGTAGGTTCTAAAGGATGACTAGGAGGTGTAAAGATGCCTCGAGGCTCTGATCCACGGCTGAAACTAGAGAAAAGCTTCACTAGAGTGACAAGAAAGCTCTTAAGTGGGGCGGAGACTCCTGCTGGTGCCCTTGGAGATTGCTGGAAAATTTTATTGGAAGTAAATGAATGATTTGAGAAGAAAAACTTGAGCAAAGGAGTACTGACTTTCTTTTGTATCCAGGGAGGTAAAAAATGTGCACTCTGCTAATACGAAAGAAATACTGTCTCTTTATAAATAAAGAGGGTATTGTATCACTTGCTTTTCAAATAAAGTTTATTTTCCTTTGGGTAGCAGGAAGTCCAGAAGAAGGCAGTGTAGAGCTTATTCAATGGGCTTGCAATATTTTCTAAATCCAGGCTCCTTCTGTCTTTCCACTCTGCCATTTTTAGTGTGTGGGCTTTTTGCCCCCTGCAGTTCCAAACTTCTCATCTAATTCAGCATGAGGGCATTTTACTGACTCTTGTCAGCCAAGTAAAGGCTTTCCTAGAACTCACCCACCTCCTGCCACTTCATATCCTAGTAGTCAGAACAGTGTCACATGGCCATTGCTTGCTGCAAGAGAGGCTGGGAACATCATTATTTTGCCATCGCAGCCCGTATAATAGGAGCAGGGAAGGGGGCAGTGGTTTCTGAGCCGCTATTCAGCAATGCCTGTCAAAATACTTCACTAAGAATTCTTCCTCTTTTTTCCCCAGGAGCCAGTCTACTTGATGACCTATATAAATATTTCTCCTTCCATCACTCCCATGGAGACACCATGACTGCCATGGATCCAAAGCAGATGAATGTTGCTGCTGCTGTTTGGGCTGTTGTCTCTTATGTCATTGCAGACATGGAAGAAATGCTGCCCAGGTCTTAGCAAGAACAAGAGACAAGGCACTTTTGTCCTTACTGGCCAGGAATCCTGGGTCTGCAGCTTCAAGAAGCCCCGCTTCACCTAACAATTTTACGTGATCGTTTACAAAGCACAACACTTTTTCATACTTTCTGATACCATCTTTCTTGATACTTTCCAAATTCTCTGTTCCTAGTGTAAGGACTAAGCCCCACCCCCACAAAGAATCAGCCAATGGTAGGGATCACAGTGAGGGAATTTCTTTACACCACATATTAAAAATACTGTTTCTACTTTGAAAGTAAATACTGGATAAAGCTTTGGAAGACCTCTGGCTTTTATGCATGTATTTACGAACATTAAATACAGTGATCAATATTTTGTTAAGTTATTCATTGAAGGAGGAGTACACAATTGTAGTACAGTCTTAATTGAATGTATGCAGGCAACTGGCCTTCTAATTTGTACATTTTTATATTATTAGAATTTTTTAATGAGGTTAAAATTTTTTGAATTCACAGAAAAAAGTCACCATTTGGGGAAAAAATCAAGTATGTAAAATCCAGTCGCCTTATTAAAGATCTGTCACCAAACAAACAAATGATAATACTATTTTACTTTTATGGTTTATATATTTCACATAATATATCTATGAAGTTGGGGCTTATTCACATTTTTCTGATAACAAGTTTGAGGCTCAGAGAAGCTAAATCATATTCACAGAGCAAAACAGTGATCCCCTTCTACTCTGGGAATAATCTCTACTATTCTTCCACACACAATGTCCAGTATTCAATTAAAAAAAATTATAAGACACACCCAAAAATGCAAGAAAAACTCATTGTCAAGAGTTAAAGCAATTAAGAAAACCAGACAAAAGAGATAACTCAGATGTTGGAATATCAGAGAGGAACTTTAACAGAGCTGTGATTAATAGGTTACATTCTAGTGGGAAAATGGGTCTATAAACATGAACAGGAGAATTTCGACAGAAACATGAAAACTATAAAATGGAATCAAATGCAAGTACTAAAATTAAACAATACAACATCAGAGATGGAGAATATCCTTGCTGGGCTCATCAGCAGACTGGATAAAACTGAGGAAAGAATCAACAAACTTGAAAACAGATCAATAAAAATTATCCAAACTAAAACACTGAGAAAGAAAAGTGAAGGAAAACAAACACCAGAATGGATCATTAGACTGTGATCTAATATATATGTGGCCTGATATACACGTAACTGAATTCTTAGAAGGAGAAGACAAAGTATCAGTTTTATTAATGGTGATAATTAAAAAGGCCTTTCATTTCTGGCAAGGTTGCCGACTGGTACACTGACTGACACTTACACTGAAAACTAAAGATGTTGGTTAACATCTGAGAAACACTTTCTTAAATATATGAATTAACTGATTAAAAGGTAAAGAATATTAGACAAAAACTAAGTGGAGGCATGAACCAAGATGATATATAGCACATTAAACCAGCTTTTCTTTTTGAGAAAATATGCAGAATGTGGTGAACTTAAATTTCTATTTTCACAGCTTTTAGTGGCTCAGGGGACTATAGACAAATCCCGTATTAGGGACACTAGAGAACCCCAATGAAATTGGAACCCCAAAGGATTATAGCTCAATACAATGGTGAACTAAAAATAACTCTGAGGACCATAAGGAAAAGTCCTGTTATTAAGTAATTGCTGAATGGAGGGTCCAGAGAAATTCCCACTGATAAAGTTACACAGTCAAGAAAATAAAAAACAAAAACAGGAATCAGAGCATTCTGAGCAACAGCAGTCCAAAAAAGAAAACAGCAGAATTAATTCACAATATCCTCTGATGTTGCAATTTTTAAATCAAGAATTTTCTAATCTATGCCTATTATGTTTTGAGGAAGTAAAAGAAGGGATTGAAAATAGAATAGAGAGTAAAGGACTATAAAAGGTGACCAAGCATATTGTTTAAAAAAAAAAAATAGAACTTCTAGAAATGTAAATGGAATTTGAAAAGTATAGGACCAACTTAACTGCAGATAAGAGAATTCATGCGCTAAAAATAATAGTGAAGAAATTAATGAGAATTTAGCACAAAAAGAAAAAGATATGGAAAATATGAATGAGGTTAAAAAATATGAAAGATAGAGTTACATGCCCTAATATATGTTTAATCGGGGTTCCAGAAAAGAAGAAATAAGACAAAGAATTATCTGAATAAATAATAAATGAAAATTTTCCAGAAATAATGAAATATACCAATCCAGAGAATCAAGAGACCCAATGAATCCCAAACAGAATAAACGAGAGGAAATCTGCACTGACGTGTTACAGAGAAACTACAGACCACAAAAGACGTTAGAAAAAGAGTCATGTAAAATCCCAAATCCATTTATGATAAAACTAAAGAGGACATCCTTAACCTGATGAAAACCTCCTACCCCAAAAAAAGTTTAAAATCTCACAATTACAATGAAATACCAAAAACTTTTCCTTTAAGATAAGGAATAAGATACGGGTGCTCACTGGAGCTACCTCTAGTCAATGGCATCTTAGATGTCCTGGCCACTACAGAAAGGCAGGGGGGACAAAGTCTAAGCAATGGAAATGAAGAAAGAAAACTTTTTATTTGTAGATAAATATGATCGCCTACGTAGAAAATTCAAAAGAACCCACAAAAAAAATCAAAATTAAAAACAAAGTTTAGGAGGTTTGGAGAGAAAAATCAACAAATATAATGAAAAGCATTTCTATACATATACTTAGAAAATGCAACCAAAAATATGTTACTTACATTAACATCTAATAATAGAAAATATCTAGAAACAAATTTTACAAAAATGATGTGTAAGATTCTTTTAGGGAGAAAATGATAAAACTTCACTGAAGTATATTAAGGTAGAACTAAATAATTGGATAAATATGCCATGTTTAAGTTTTGGAAGAGACTCAATAGTAAAGATGTCCATTCTCCCCAAATTTATCTGTAGAATCAATACACTCTCAATGAAAAATTCCCAATGGGATTTTTTTGGATTTGAGTTCTTAATTTTAGTTTATTGGTTTGTTGCTTGGTTTAACGTACCAGGCTGATTTTAAAAGGTAATTGGATGACAAAGAACTAACAGTAGCCAGCGTTCCTGAAAAAGAAAAAGTACGGGATCATAGTAGCCATTAATGTGATTGCCAAATATTTTTGATTTTCTTTCTAGGCAAGATTGTACTTTCCTGATCCCTTGTAATTTGGTATTACCATGTGCTTTTGACCAAGAAACAGGAGCAGAAGTGGTTACCTCTGGGTGGCAATTTTAAGACCCAGTGCGTGATTTTGCCGTCCTCTCTCTTCCCCATCATAGCAAAAGACAGTGTTGCAGAGAGTGCCTGCTCCAGGAATCCCCCTCCAGAGTGATGACCAGGCACAACCCAGCTTCTGGTCTACCTGTAATGAACATGAAGCATGAGCAAGAAAGACACTGATATTATAGTATCACTGATAATCTGTGGGACTTTGTTACCACAGCCTACTCTGACTGATTTGTTTTTATCTTACCTTGCCAGATATCAAGACTTCTTATCAGGCTGTAGTATTTAAGATGGCATGGCATTAGCACAAGGGTAGATAAACAGACCAACGAAACAGAATAGAGAGTCCAGATCCAGAATCACACATTCATGAAGACTTGATTTATGGCCAGGTTGGTACAGAAGATCAGCAAAAAATAAAACATAGACTTCTCAATAAATAGTAGAACAGTCGTCTCTAAGTAAACAAATTCGACTCTCACTTCATATCTCCTATGTAGCGTCCTGTTGAGAATAGATTGAAAACAAGTGATTGAATCGCTTGACTAATTTAAGGGCACAGTCCCGAAACACATCTGAAAGCACCGAGAACAGTGCACAGTACATAGTAGCTTCACAATAAATGTCCTCTGATTGGGGAATGTCAGCTCCTTTAATCTTGTGGCAAGTCCATTTCTCAGTTTCCATTCCTCAGTCCTTCTCTTCTTTGAGGTAATGATAGGAACAGGATAAAAATTCCTAACATGGAGCCCTATCAAGAGAGAGCTAAACTGAATACCAGCAGGAAAGTCCTGGAATTCTCTCAAGCAAGGGAATAAGCTTAAGCAGGAAACATGGGAAGCTGCCAAAGAGGGAGGTCTTCACAGTTGTGCTTTAGGTGGTCCCATTTGTATTCCATCTTCACAAAAGGAGACAGAAGCCATAAATGGAGACTTGGACTGCAAGTAACCCACATGGTTGTCAGTTCCCACTACAGTGGCCATGCAGAGACACAAGAAGATAGATCTTCTGACTGAGTAATGTTGGTCATGCGGTTTACAAGGTGATGTCTTCCACCTCGATCCAAAATCCAGTCACTCTCAGGTTCATGCTGGATTGAGAAATACAGCACATCCCAATTCTTTAACCAAGCTCTGTGAGGCAGAATTATAGGAGCATTTAGTCTAGGGCTAATTTTGCCTAACTACTAGGGCTAAGCCCTCTGAATGCTCTGTTGATGCCCCATAAGTTATGAGATTTTCCTCTCTGATGGGCGGAACAAACTACTTTTGTCCTTGTTGGAGCTCCTAGTGCTGTTTCTTCTATCCCTTTCAGTTGGCTCTTCCCAGCCTCTGAGAGTTCCCTGTAACACATACACCTGTCGGTGCTCAGCTGGGGAGGGGTGGGGGACCCTCCGAAGGTCTCTGGCATCTCATTCTGTGAGGCTCTCCCCGCTCTGAGACTGTGTCCCATGAACTCTCACTGCCTTGGCCTCCCCGGACATTCAGAATCCTCCCTCAACTCATGGTGATTCCCGGGCTCTGCTTGGGTTTCCCTTTCCTCAACTGTGACTGGAAACTCTCTCAAGGTAAGCTAGTGCCATCGTAGGACTCACTTCAATATTTTGTGTCCAATGTATACACCCATATACTTTTTACATTTTGTACATTTTGAATCAGTCTTTTCTCACTACTTGATTCCAGTTCGGGAATGTAGATTCTCAAGGATTTCACGAACTGTCCAAAG